CCCCCCGGCAAACGCACCAGAAATTTGGCACTAGTGCAAACAAGGGCCTTTTAAATCGCTTTACACCGGTTTGTAAACCGATTTATTATGTAGTGTGAATGAGGCCCAAATAAACCCTGTGATAGGTCTGCCTTAGGGTTAATTTTTTGACCTAAATTTCTAAACTTATACATGAGTATATACAGTAAATCCCATGATAGGTCTGCCTTAGGGTTACCATAAGTCAGAAACAATTTGAAGGCACACAACAGAGACATAGACACTAGAGCATTGCTCTCCTCATTCTTTGTTGTGAAGCTTGACTCAAAGGCACACAAAAACAGGATTTGGGGCACATTTGTATGCTCTCAGCCTCCTCATGCAAACCTTCCTCTGCACAACTTTTGCCAAGAAAGCCCCATAATGACTTGAAGGCACACAACAAGAACAACAAACTCTTCTTTGTAAACCGCCTAGATTGCTTCGCCACCGGGCGGTATATAAATAAATTTTATTATTATTTATTATTATTATTACTAAGTAAGTACTGGAAGGCCATGGCAAACCTTCCTCTGCACAACTTTTGCCAAGAAAGCCCCATGATAGGTAGGGTTGCCATAAGTCAGAAATGACTTGAAGGCACACAACAAGAACAACAAACTCTTCTTTGTAAACCGCCTAGATTGCGTCGCCACCGGGCGATATATAAATAAATTTTATTATTATTTATTATTTTATTTATTATTATTATTATTATTAAGTAAGTACTGGAAGGCCATAGCAAACCTTCTTCTGAACCACCCTTGCCAAGAAAACCCTGTGATAGGGTCACCGTAAGTCAGACACAAGTTGGAAGGCACGCAACAACAAGATCCTGGAGATGGGACCCAAATCTAAATATGTAATTCATTTATGTTTCATATACACTGTATATGTATAACCTGCAGGCAATTTTATACCTAATAAAACTCTCTCAATTTCAGGGAAAGGCAATGGCAAACCTCCTTGGAACAAATCTTGCCAAGAAAGCCTAGTGAGGTGTTCTCTCTAGGAATCTCTAGGTCCTTCAGTGCAACTGTTGGTTAAAGTTGACCATGGAGTTGCACTGGAGGACCTAGATATTCCCAGAGAGTACATTAATAAGATCTGTGAATAATCAAATCTGAAAAAGTCAAAGCCGCAAATGTGGAGGGATGAGTGCATTTACATGCCCAACCACCACCGTGGCACATTGGAGCCACTGCTGCCACGTGCCCCTTCCCTTCTCTTTATCATGTTGGATTGTAAGATTTTGCTTAATTTTAATGCTGTAAGACGCCCCAATTGCTTTGCAGAGGGGCGGGATATAAATTATTATTATTATTATTATTATTAATTATTATTTTATTCTCTGAAGGCCCCTACCATGGCATGTAAAGGTAGAAATGGCTGCCCGGCTACGCCGATGTGGGCAGGTGCCCCTTTCCGACATCAGAGGCTGAGATGGAAGCCTCCGGGGTGGATGTGACAGAGATGTCATCTGTTTTGCTTGTTGTCCCAGAGTTCCCTGGAAACTCTGCCAGAAACAGCCAGTCTCTTTGGACTGGGATTAGGCCTGGGGTTGCCTGATCAGCATCCAGACTGGCCAGTCCCAGCCTGGGGATAATGGCCTGCATTGTCCAGACAGGAGAACTTGAGTCTGGGATGAGGGAACATAGGTTTCTTGGCCTGGGCATACAATCCCCCAGATAATTCTTGTGTATAAAAAATTATCTGAAGCAAATACTGTTTTTTATACTTGACTCTTTCCCAATTTGTGACACCAGATATTTTCATTTAGTCTCTCTCGTTCATTCTGTTAGCTAGCATTTCTCCTTGTGAGTTTGGCTCAGTATAAGCCTCTGGTCTTATGGCAATAATATCTGTACCATCTCTCTTAATGTGTCCTGACTTCCAGATGGACTTAGGATCAACAGAAGCTTTCTTGTTCTCCAGAGTAATAGGTTCATTTTTGGCTCAGTTCAGTGCCTGGAGCTGTTTTCTTCAAATGGAATAATAGATGAAAGTTTCCCCATCCTTAAAGCCTCTTCCATAGC